AAAGTGTTCAGGTTCAGTTGTGACGAATATACAGATTATCACAATACTGTAAAAAGTATTAAAGTATTTATAGTAGCTAAATTAGACTGCAAAAACATACCAACAAAATAAATATCTATAAAGAATATTTTAACAACTTAATTTACAATTTTATTAGTAACAATGATACTAAAGTATTTCACCTGTAAAGACAGTTAAACGGACGTTCAACTTTGGTGAAATCACCAGTCGCAATAAATTCCTTTTTAGTAGTTTTCGCCTACACGAACACCTTTGGCTTAACTTTTAGGTAGGTACATAACAAAGTTGCATTTGATCGGCACCTACGTGGAAAAGCTTGGACTGTTATATTTCCAAAAGCAATTTTAAAATAAAAAGCAATTACAGATTCTAACGTATCTTAATGTTCACAGACAACGTTTGTGGTATCTAGCTCTAAGTGATTAATAATATTATAATGATAATTAGATTATATTAAGATTTTTAAGCAATATTACTATTATAAGATATTTTTATTAAGCAAGCGATTAAGTCCTAACATTACAGCAAGTAGTCTCTGGAAGTCGCTTATTAATATCCGAATTATTTTCAATTTTAATATGTTTTTATATTTATTTTTGCGCTTTAATATCTTAGGTTCGTCATTTGATATTGTTTTTATTTAAATTACATGAACCAAAAAATTTTGTACTTAGTACTAGGGATATAAAAAGTTATTTTACCTATAGGATACGAAACAGGCGAGTAAGTAATAATAGTTTTCTATTACATCAAATTTATAGATAGAATCTATTATCTACCTATCTCACATGTACCTATTTGTATATATTTCTTGTATGTGATCTCACTCAAAGGCGCTTTCTTTGACAACTTTTGAAGTAAATATTATTGTGTAAATAACAAAATAAGTTATAATTTTTCATCACCGGTAATTTTGATATTTATTTAGCTCTTAAGTGTGATAATAAAATTAATGTTAAAATGTTGTATTTTAAGTAGGTCGTGAAAGCAATTTTATTATTATAAAAATCTTTGCACCATATATTTTTTTGATCTACATATATTATATATAATTACTAATAAACTAATTTTAAAGAACTTTTGTTAATATTATTTTAATAATAATATTCCTTAGGATATTGTCAAATAGATCTCTTAGTGACATCTAGTGTTGTATCTTTGTAAACTAATGCTGAATCATTATTTAGACCGCTTGTCTTTATCGTATTGGTTCAGTAATATAACACAAGATGGCGTTTTTTTAATGACTTTGAATTATAATGTAATTTGATATACAAATGTAAATATGTGGTACAATCGTTTACTAAACATTGGGGATCCCTAACGTTTGTATTGGTATAAACAGACAAACCAAAGAGGAACTTATTTTTAAATAATGCATCTGTCTATTTTTTAATATTTCCTACTTGCGTAACTGAATTGTGGTATTAGGAATTTCATGAACCATTTTAACTATTCATATTTACAACTAAAAATATATTCCTTAACAATAACGAAATGTTTTAATGTTAAATTTTCAAGAGACACGTTTGGATAGCGTAAAATATAACACTGCTTATCTATTATTTCCCCTATTATTGTTGCACATAACACAAACAAACAGAAAGTTTGATAGAATTTACTTAAGAAAAACGTAAATGATTGTGTGACTAAACTTTTAATTTTCTTCCTATACTAACCTAATTTAATAATAGGTTTAGCGTGAACATTCAACAGGCTTTTAATATAATCGATTTCATATTCGAATAAGCCAAATTAGATGGAACTTCCTACCTCCTCTCTTAGTTCGATTTAATATAATAGTGCGGTGAGGTAGTTGGAACAATTGGAGCTCAAGTGGGCTGGTGACGGCAGCCTGATAATTAGAAAGGGTGGCAGGGTGCATGCATTATGTAGCAATCGATGCTTGGTGTTGGATACTGATTGCTGGATGGGCTAGTGTCAGGTGGACAGCAAAGCTATTGAGTATATATACATATATATATACAATAGCTTTTTTTGCTAGCTGTTTCTTGCCATAGTCATTTTGCATGATGATTTGATATTTCAAAGGAGTAGCGAGAATTTTTTACGCCGGATTTTTCTCTCGACTTACACCCTCTGTCTTCTTTGCCGATGTGAAGGGATGTCTACCGATTCAAATTTAATGACGTGGAATAAGTGATGCCTGTATCTTATATTCCATAATAAACATATTTTTTTTATATTATTTAATAAATACTCGAGTGAATTACTCGATATTGCAGGACAAATTTCTTTGTAATTTCTAATGTGAGCACGTGAAAACCCTTCCACGCTTAAACACTTAGCTGATTAATATTAATATACATCCAGTACAGTATGGATACCAGTCAGTCAGTCACTACACGTAGAGTTAATGTTAAAAAAAACCTTTTGCTGGTACTGATTTGAAGAGGTTGGCTTCTTAAAATAAATTGTTATCAAGGAATTGCATACAGAACTATATATTGTATATAATATCAACGTGAAGCCATTATTTCTTAATTAACCTATATATTTATCACGAACCTTATTTCACATAGTTTTAATTATACTTACGTTTCCCTTCTAGATTCTTCTCCAAGCATTCCTCTGTCCGACTCCCACGCCGTGTCGATGTAGGGTGTTGGCCTTTAGGCGACCCGTAATTTCTGTATTAAGCATTGTTGGATATGAATATACAGCGACTTATACGTGAAGATACTTAGCCTTTTAAAATGTACAGAGAAACTTTATACATTATCAACAATTTATATTTAAATACTGACTTTGGTTGAAAGCAAATTAATGATAAAAAAAATGTTGGTTGAAGTTCCAACGACCTCAATTATCAAGACCTCTCACGCAATGAATATTAAAAATGTGATCCAGCTAAAGATGTAGACAACATGTACCATTCTCCCTAGTAATATAAACGTACACAATTACAATGTATCCCGATCCGTTTGGAAGCTATATCCAAATTTAGCCTACGACCTACATTCACACAAATATCAATATTTATTAGTCGCTCTATCTATTAAGCATGCCTGGAAAAACGGAAAAGCTATAGTCAATGAAGTGTAGTGACAGTAACTTTAACAAAATCGATTCGACCGCAAGCTTTACGTGTTAAGCGCGGATTTAAATTAACTGTACATTTAAATAGCAAACCGAATGAAAACTTATTAATTTTGTTTATATTGTGTAATTAATGTGAAAATAATTAGGTAAATGATTTTGCATTGTTGCTGAATTTGTAATGTCATTTGAGTATAATACTCGTACTTGCGACTCTTTTTGATGATAGAGTTTCTTTTATTTATTCTTACACGAAGCTCTTCTTCGTGGCTGTGAACTCCAAGGAGCTTATTAAAGGTATGTTCCAAATACTTGATTACATTATCCTGTGTAGTGAAGTTAAGGTATTATTAATGGGTACCAGGGAAAGCAACCAGAATGTTAACAAACAATTACATTGCAATGCTTTCAAAATAATATCATAGGTCTAGGGACTCGTAGTCTTATCTGCAATTCTATTTAGACTAAAATATAGTTCGCGTATGAAATTATTTATGACTAAAAATTGTATGTAAGCGTGTTTAATAGACAGAAACCCTAAAGTAAATTATTATATTTGACGTAAAACAATGTATGTAACGTTTTAGTTTGAGTTCGAAGTCCAGTAAACCCCTAATATCTTTACATACTTAAACTAAAATCAAATCAAAGACCTTTACATTTACGACTATGAAACTACTGTATTAACTTTGTAGTATAATGGACGATTATTTATTAATATACGTACAAGTAATCATCATGTATTTATCGAAAAAAGCTTGCAAAAGGATATTTAATCTATGGCTAACGGCGACAGATTAAAAATGTCAATTGGCAGCGACCCTTATCCGGTATAAACAGAGGAAATTCGCAGTGATGGTATGAAATGCGATAGATTACCGCCTTCCGATACGATATTGAGGTGAGCTTTATTTTCACGTGGAATATTAAATAAGCGCGCTCGAAACCAACAAAGTGACTTTGGTATGTTAAAATACAATTTTATGGTCCATTGTTTTCATCCATCAAACTTATTTTTGTAATTACTTGAAGTAAAGCAAATATATCATTTTTAATAACCCACGACAGTTAACAATATGGACTAATTTATTTATTTGGTGTAATAGCGGTTATTGTGCATCTAAACCAGGTCAGTGGTACCAGCAGCCACGATTTGACGGTGAATCAGAGGATGACTTGGTTAAATTCCTTTGAGTTAGTGATCCAATTGCCTATTTCCCAACCCTCGACGAAAAGGTGTTATAAATTAAAGTGTATGTCGTGTCCGCTTCAACGCATCCAATTTTTATAAGATTTGTTTGTTTGCAAGGTTATTGATTAGCTGAATAGAATAAAAGAGTTTTGTATAATTCGGTTTCGGACAGCTTTTCGTCGTCATCCAACATTCGAAATACGTATTTATTTCTATTAATATATTAATATTTGTTCCTTATAACAGTCGCTATGACGTATATATTTGGTCCCACCCGGAAGAAATGCGATCTCGTCTTTTTATCTGCCGTCGAACTGTTTGACCAAAAAGGCAACTTTTATAAATAATACTATGAGTTGATACTATGAGCTTTGAGTCAAATATTAAATATCAAATTTGATCGTAACTTTTAATAGGAACACGATGTGTCACAGAATGATTCATGACCGTTTTATACTATTCGAGTTATAATACACTTTTCAATCGTACGTGGAAATCAAATGCAATTTCACTGCAGTAAACCAACCTATCCTTTATTTCTGCCATTTTATTTTATTAAAAAACAGTACATATTCTAGAATAAAGCGCGCTTCTTTTTTACAGTTTTATAATTACTTATTTAGAATTTATAACTATAAGACTGTTGTCCAGTAAACCGCATTATGTGCAATACTTATAAAATATTCAAATAAGGTTACGCAGTTATTAAAAATTTTCAGTTTTAATAATGGGTTGCGGTTCATCTGGTCACGTGATCGCACCAGCACCTGGACAAGAAAACGGATCAGTCGCCAACGGACATACTGTCAACGAACATAATACTCACCATGATAATGATCTTCCCACGGTGATGCTACCAGATACACCAGCAAAGCCTAAACCACGTAAGAACCTGTTAATGCTTTGAAATGCTAAGAAATTATTCTCTATAATATACGAAAGGAAGAACTGCCTTATAATACATAATTATAATTTAGCCTCGTTTATTCCTTTAAATATGCATCTATATTTACAAAAGATATACACACTTCAAATTTTATACAACAATAATAATATTTTTTGCAAAGACCTCCGACTGGTTTCATCTCCGCAAAATACTCATTTTTCCGCAAATTTTCTGCATTTTTCTGCAAATCTTCCCCACCAACTTCTTTAAGCTTGCCGCTGTGCAGGAGGACGACCTGCCTTTTCCTTGATGGGCCATTCCAGCTTGATACCCTGTTTTTCCATCTGTTATTAAGTCTACACTGAATTCATCGCTTATTATATTACTTTTAAACACACTCTTTTGTATGAATCCAAGGCTACATAACTCCTGAATGGAAGGAATCTACGAGTAACATAATATTTTCGGGAGTGAAAAGCTGTTTACTGTTACTTGAAATCCTGAAATAGGTGGTTGCACGTTTGTAGTATCTTGAAATACAATGAATAGTAATGCTCTAACTTTTGCTTCCCAAGGAAGCAGTGTCGAACCTAAAACTTCGAACAATGTGCGCAAATAATGTTTATGCAGAACGGACAACGCCTTGTTTGCCCTAAAATCTCACAAGGTATTTTTTTGTCAACCTGGAATATGATTGCTTGACTCAATTAATTTACTATAGATGTTATATGTATATGGTATAAAGAATTTTGTAAATGTAAATGTGTTTTCGTGGATGAAGGAATGTAAAGGAATTTGTATTTCAGTCACCAAGGTTAAGTCCCTAAGTGTTATATTGGTCTATTTGTACTCTAAGTTTGTTTATAATGTTTAAGCAATAATAAAAAGAAGAAAACCCAAAATTGAATTAAACTTCTTGAGTTGTAAGTAATCTTTATGTAAATCCTCGAGTGAGAGTAGAGATGGTCTCTCGTTGGCTGCTGCTGTAAATCAGTGGCAACGACAAATTATATAATTAATGTAATAAACTCTTGTTTACATGAATTAAAAATGTCTATATAAATCTGTATAATTTATGTACATCAAACGATTATTTCAATTCCTTTGTTTGTGTAAAAATTTGTTTTTTTTTTCCTTTAATTCATAGATATTCATTTCAGCTATTGCCTTTGAAATTCCAATAGAAGAATTCGATAGAAGCCATCGGGCAATCACACCACCAGCTCATCTACAACGGTTACTGCGTCCGCCCAGCACCGACGTTAGTCTGCCTCATATTGAAGAAAAGCTAGCAGAGGCTGAACAAAGAAGGCAAGCAGTAAGTTATCAATATATCTTTATATCTGTAGCCCTGAAGAGACATTGGTTAAATTTTAGGCATTTTTATCTAACTTTAGTTAAGGTAATTCTTTAGTTGAACATTACGTGAATTTGCAATTATTTTATTAAGTTCAAACATGCAGTCGACTAAACAATAAGCTACAAGCTCCCTCCTTATCAGAATGCCAAATCGTAAAATGACTGCTTCACGTCTGATTTGAGCGCGACCGCCGCTGCGAAAACCGCTCTGAGAGTTCGAAAAGTGAGTTACAGAATCGCAAGGCAGTTATTATTAAGATATTCTACTACAACGACAATCATACTACTTGAGCTTCTATAAAAGATCGCTTATATCGTATTTCTATTGATCGCAGATACTACAACAACGTGCGGCTTCAGCTCAAAAAAGGTCGCAGAAAATTACAAAGAGCTTCCAGGATATCAAGAAATTTGACAAAACGGAATTTGTGAGTATTAAACTTAAATGTGTCCATAATATAGATCATAACTCATATGGACATGGACAAAACAATCACCGACGGAATGACAGCTTTAATGTTGACTCTCAAACCTTTAATCACTGTCTATAACACATTGTGTAATGTGTATGTAACATGTGCTTGTTTGATTTATGTGTCATGTGAAATTCCATTTTCGTGGGTGAGTTAGACAAGTGCCCTACTAAGTAGTCATTGGACGAATTTCGTAATGTAAGAAAACATTACCATGTCTGAGTTTCTGGAGAAACAATTTTTTTTCAATTAGGATAAGAGAAGGGTTTGGGCCGGCAACGCACTCACGAGCCCCCTGGAATTGAGAGTGTCCATGGGCGGCGGTATCACTTAGCATCAGGTCTTCGAAAAAAAAAGGGGGTGTACTTGTGTACGCGCGGAAGAAGTTATACTTCTTTGGCTTTCTTTATTTTTTTTAAATATTAAATAATTAATTATAAATATTTAACGTTAATAATTTGATAATATTTAATATTTAGTATATTATTCATTATTAATTAATATTAATAATATTTATTATTATTATTTATTATTTTATTATATTATTCATTCAATTTAATAACTAGGTATGTTTCATAACCTTTTAACTAAGTAACAATAGGTTTTTGTGAAAAAGCATTGCTAAATTTCTTTGAAAAAATAATTAAAACTCCTCTATTTGTTTAAAAGGTCCTACAAAGGTTATTATGGTCATTCAAAATTCTTGGCATAGCCGCTAACTTCACACATATTCTATTTCTTTTTACTTGTAGATTGTCTTATTCCCATCTCGCTCGCGCACGCTCGGCGCCCGGCTGGTTTAAAAATAATTCGTTAGTGAGCAACTTCATTCTGATAATTTGGTGTCACGGTGCGCGCGCATCGTAAAATTTCACTCTCATAAATTTTTCATAACGCGCCTAAAGAAGTATAACTTCAAAAAAGGAGAGTCTTACCAAAGTAGTACCAAATTACAATGATAAATAGACGTAGGTACTGTGCTGTGACCTAGTTGTTCACTATACCACGTGAGCGTTCACATTTTCGGTTTCTTTTCATCGAATTTAGAAAAATACATTAAGTTATTCTATTACAGAATCATGATGAAACCAGTCACAAGCTTATCATTCCACCAGATCCAGGACTTGAAGATAAACTAATCTAATTATATCTAGAAAAATATTATCTCAAATGTACTTAATAATAATTGTAATACTCATTCTTACTATTAATAGTTATTTAAATAACCTCAATGTGGCCCCAACTAGTACTGAAAAATAGTATTTCTATTTTAAGCGGAATACGCAAATGAACCGTGGGCCACCGTATAACTTTGCTTTCTACGAATTTTTGTACTCAGTTTTATATAAATTATTGTCATTCGTATCTATAACGTATTTAAACAACCGTTTTCCATTTGAGTAAGCATGATGAATTTTAAATCCAGCCAGGTTCGAAAAACAATTTCTTCTCAACGCTTATTTCCCTTGAGATACCTTGTTGAATTTATTTTGACTGTATCCCCGCAATGAATGGTATTTTATACTGGGTACTCTGTATGTTTAACTTCATTATGTATGGTATAGAAACTGTATAGGATATCCTCAATAAAATAATCTTAATTTAAATGTTCTATATGTAAATATATTTCTTATTAGGTAATCAAAGCTATGTTCTCAAATTATTCAAAGCCGCAAACATGTAAGAATTCTAATCCAGGCCAGGGAATGTTCCTAAACCGGTGTTTACCTTTAATATAAGATTCAATATAAAATACCACATACATAATTGTTAAGACGCCAGTCCCCACACTGTTTTGTGATGTGGATTGTGGGTGTCTAGACTATAGCTTTTCTGTGCTACATGATAATAAAAACATGTTTAAAACAAAAGGCCATATATGTCACTCCTTTTGTTTTAAACATGACATGACAATATGACAGGTCGTTCAGCGTCACTATACTTTCACCTAATACAATATAATCCTAGATATAATAGACAAATAATACTATTAAAAGAAATTGTATTTTATTGTATAGGTTCGTATGACTTTTTAATAAGAAGTGTTTCTTGTTATGCTTTTTCTGATTAATATATTCAATGTCAGCCTTGCTATTCTGTAACTCAGTTTTCGAACTCACACAGCGGTTTTCGCATCGGCGGGCGCTCTCAAATCAGTCGTGAAGCAGTCATTTTATGATTTGGCATTCTGATAAGATGGGAGAGAAATAATAATTCTGCTTCACGCCTGATTTGAGAGCGACCGCCGATGCGAAAACCGCTGTCTGAGTTCGAAAAGTGAGTTACAGAATCGCAAGGCAGGACTGTAGCACTTATATTATCAGTATGAAAGGTTTATAATTCTTATTAAAAATTACTATACACAGAAAGTTGCATAACGCAGATAAGGTTGTTTTTTCAAAGTAGCGTCAAAGCCGATTCTATATTTCAAATTTGTATTAAATTGTCTAAAGAAAATTTTTCTGATACCCTTATACTTATGTGATGTAATGTATTATTACAATAAGAACGATTAATTTATTGAATCAGCAACTGTTGTAATATTTACACAAAACGGATTGCGAATAATGTCTTAATAAAATATTAGAAATATATTTATTGCGATTCAACTTTCAATCAAACACGAAAACGACCTCAGTGGCCGCCAGTGCGTGTGAATTATTCTACAATTGCATTGAAACGTAACTAATGGTTATACGTAACTCATAATTACTATAAGACCTAAATTACCTTATATTTGCATATTTCTAATAATGCCTGTGCTTATGATTTTGTATAAAGATATACAAAAGATTATTTTATAACTAATGAGTTAAGAGACAAAAACATATTTGGATTTCTAATAATTATGTTATTTAATGTATGATTATAAATAATTTGAATTATAAAACATTATATTGTGTTTTTATTACGGAATACATTCGTAATTTTTCCATAGTAAAAATGTTAATGCCTTTGTGGACACGTAGAATAATAATAATCTAACGAAGAATCAAGTTGGGACCGATCAGTAATTTGAAGAGTAATTGTTTTGGATATAACGGACAGAAAGCCGTTCAAATACTAATAAAGAAAAAATATATGATGACGAATTACCCAACATATAAATTCTTAAGCAAATTATCTTTTGTTATCTGTATAATCAAGTTCTCGCATGCATAAGTAATTCTTTAGCAATTATATTAAAATTTACATAGTTGCCGATATAATCAAATTAGTGGATTGATGGATCCGAAGCAAATTTGCCTCAAGGTTGCAAGGATATTCAACTGTAACGTGGAAGACCTATTGTTGCAACTGCGCACACGCATCCAATTTAGGCGGATTTTTGGCAGGAAATTACTGTAGTATATAACCGTTAGGTTTTTCAACAATCGGTACACTTCGTCTGCTGAACTGAAGTAAAATGAACTCCTTCATCACAGTAAGTAATATAATAAATATTTTATTTTATACTATCAATAATAATGTGACAATTAAGGGTGAAGGATTATTTTTGTTGGTTGACCGTGAAGGATTTGAACTAGCAGTGAAGGAAAACATAAAATTTAACTTACCTATTTCAGTTTTCAACAACATTAAAATATTTTTTCTCAATTTATTCGGTTTTGTTTCTAGTTTGCCTGCCTCTTGGCTGTTGCCGCTACCGCAAATGGCTATGGCTATGGCCTGGGTGGACTTGGTGGATACAGTGAGTAGAAATTTCTATGACAATCGTGCTTTGTACTATTCATTTTAACTTACTTGTATTTAATATTTTAATTTTATTTATTATACTTTGTTTTGCTAAATTAAACAATATTCCATAAAGTAATTAAAGTTCTTCGTTGTATTTGATCTAGTAGTATTTCCAGTCTACCATCTCATCCACCTCATACTCAAGCGATAGTATGTAAATAAAACTGTATAATATTGTTTCAGGGTTGTCGGCGCCAATAATTAGCGCACCAATAATTACTGCCCCAGCGTACTCCACCGCGAACTTGTACAAGGCTGCGCCCATCCCTGTGGTCCGCACATCGTATGTAGCCGCTCCTGTCATCAGAACCGTACCTGTAGTCAGAACTGTAGCTGTAGCAGCTCCCGCTGTTAGTGTCGCTAGCTACGGAAGTTACGGTGGCTACGGAGGTTACGGTAGCTACGGAGGTTACGGTGGCCACGGACTTAGCTACGGCTACGGACACTAAACCAGTCACCAGACGAAGTTTCTCTTCTTGGTCAATGCACTAAATAAATCATTTCTTCATTTATATGACTTTTCATTTTCTGAGTAAAACTAATATACTTGGTACCTACAATGCTACATAAACTGCGAGCTCACCACAGCACCAGGCAACCAATTAGCCATAGATTTGAATTTAATTGTTTGATTACGCAAGGTTTACATAATTTTGGAAAAAATAGTATTTACACAGAACACACAACTAACATTCGGTCGAACTCTCCTAACTCAATAGATAAGCAAAATCTAATTTTGTTATATGGTTTTCTTGGAATTCATAGAATCCTTTTCACGCCCTTGGAACTTGAAGCTCAGTTTCGCAAAACTCAATTTCCAAATTCAGTTAGCGGTGTTATACGACGTGGAAAAGTTTTAAGTTAGTTACGCATTGGCCTTTGCTTGTTATCCAGATGAAAATCTGTTAATATAATACATTATATTTTTCCAGCGTGTTAGAATGAAAAAATTCTATAACTACGAAACAATAAAGGATATTTTTTCAATAATATTCATTTATTATTCGTTAAGAAACTTTTTCGTTGTCTAGATCTTATAAGAACATTATATATTAATCAACAGTAGCTCGCAAGTCTTCCAATGAGTGTTTGCTCATTATTTTCTCATTTTTTACCGCATTTAATAAAGCAGTTTTTTCTGGAAGCGACGAAGGATTCTCGGAGCTTTAATTGAAAAAGTAATTAAACCGACAACATCGAGTCCTCTGGAATCTATGGCCTGATTCACGTTGTTTTAAGGATTTTTAATATCGCTGAAAAATTGTCACCGTGCAATGATAATTTTACATATAGAATCCCAAATTCACACACATTTTAGCCATTTATAGGTCATCAAAAAGAACTTTAAAAATGCAAATATCATTATTTGACAAGGTCAAGTTTTTAACTTAAAGATACTTTTAGCTTTATCAGAATATAGATCTAAATTTATAAGACACAATATTGTCTTATTTATAATAATTAGTATGATATGATTATTATTTGATATTTATGATTACTAATAAACAAAATTTTCGTAATAATGATTATTATAATAATTCGAGATGCGAACAATTGTATTGCAAATTCGTATGGAGAATAAGCCTGCTGGGAACACAAATGTCAAGATTGAGTTTTACGATGTGAAGCGTTTTTACGCGTTTTTTAGATCAGAAAATTTCAAACTAACAACTTTTTACAAATTATGTAACGAGCTACGTGAAGTTTTGATTGATTTGAAAAGCTGCGGCTTTTTGTAATATTATTTTGCTTTATGATATAACGTTTTTTTTGCTTTAAGATGAAATGTTCAAATTATTCGTATAAAATATAATTTTAGGTGCGTAGCTAATAAACTTTCATATAATCTTTTATAGGATATCAATTTGTAGTTAGAAATTTGTGTTAAAAATCGTACAAACTATAATTGTTCGTTTACTGACATCATATCACAAGTATTTTCGTGACTTATACAAGTTTAATTTTCGAAATGATTAGCCAATATAACAAAAAGCTTCAATATTTTCTATTATACTATATATTCTTAGATGAAAGGACTATGGAAATATAAACCTTATAAAACCTTGGTAAATTTGAGAAAGGCCACCTGTTTCTAGAACATTTCAGGTGTGTAAAACTCAAGCTAACGATTTTATGTGCAATCCAAGTAACATTTACAACTTAAAGCAAGTGCCGCCTTTTTTATTCCTTTGCTGTAGTTAAGTACACATGCTAAGAATTACGCTTTTGCAGAGAACGTTTGGTCTCGAGCTGCCAAAGGTGTTCATTATTTTACACCTGCAAAAGTTATGGTTTAATTTTACACAAAATTCTTTAAAATAAATGTCGTTGTTGTTGTTATTTGTTCTAAACCTTCATTGACTTTGTAGCTGAAATATGTTCAAATTTATTTTATTAAACTTCAGCTCTTTGTTCACACAATCACTGGTACTGTGAATCCTACAGCTACGATAAACTGACTTATTTATACTAATTCCACTTATTTTGTCAATTTCCATCAGAAGTGATATTGTTAGTAAAACAAAATTACCATTGTTCATAATAAACCAGCGTTAATAACGAAAGTAAATTAATTTAATTAATTCAAGATCATTTCGAATCCCAGTGATAATAAAATACTAAGCTGGGTTAGTCAAGATCTCAGACATTTAATAGTACATACATAAATTTCATTATTCCACCTTTCCGAGGCATAAGACGATAAGAAGCAATAGTTTGAAACTCGCAGGTAGAACTATCATAAATATCTCGCCTCATTAGATTTATCGCCGAAACTACTCTAACTTTTAACAAGAACTAGCACCGGGTATAATGAGTTTTAAAGAGCAGTAAAGTCCTCTTTTTCGATTTGGAACTAATGTATCTTTTTATAGGCAGCTGGAAACTTCAACATACAAGGTTACTAAAGCTCATTCGTAAACGTGTCCAGTCCTGCGATTCTGTAACTCACTTTTCGAACTCACAGAGCGGTTTTCGATGGGGTCGCTCTCAAATCAGTGTGAAGCAGTCATTTTATGATTTGTATTTGAAAAGGTGGGAGCTTGAAGTTTATTGTTTATCAGAATGCCAAATCATAAAATACTTTCAGATGATTTGAGAGCGAGCGATGCAAAACCAGTGTGAGTTCGAAAAGTGAGTTACAGAATCGCAAGGCAGCACTGAATAGTTGGGGGACACTAGCTACTGGTATTCGTCATTAAGAGCATTCCTACGATTGTTTTATTATTCGTAGGGGTATTAGGATATTTGCTAGTCTCGGCACACAGTGTGGAGAGGCAGTCGGCGCTAGATGTCCTCAGTCGTTAAAATACTCATATACAAATGTAGGATAAAGAGTAAATTGCTTTACTTTACATGCTAGATTGAATTTCTTTATGATGAAACTTAAAACTTGCTCTATGAAATCCAAATGGTTAGCGCTGATTAGCGCTTAATCATTTGTTCACATGCGCACACATTATCAGCACAAGAATATAAAACTTACGGACTTATTTTTTTAAATATATTTGAGTATTTACATAAGTACTCAAACACATATAGCTTTTTAGATTATGCTTTTAGTAAAACATCAAAATTTCTTTACGAGCTTTGTCAGTAGGTACTGTAGATATTTCCTTTAGTTCTAAGGATATTATTGAATCTGAGCACACTTTGCGCACAAGAGACGATTCCAACCGATTGCTATGGACTAAAATTGCTCGGGATTTATAGGGAGTATGCAGTGTATCGATTCGAACGTATTTCCGACCCGGAGTTTACCATTACCAGGAAACATTTTGTGACACATGTTTGTGTGTGTGTATTTTATTCTTACTTTCATTAGGGACGAGATTTCAGAATCATCAGAGTTATACAAACACTCTTAGTTTTGTTATAGTTATTATTATGTCAGGTCGTCTGTATTTATATAATTATAAGTTATAACTATATAGGTTACGTAACATAAAATTATTGAATATGAACTATTCTCAGTTTTTCTACAATTTATAAATTCACAATATAATAGTTTCCAAATTACGTCAATCGCTTTTTTAAAGTACATTCTATATTGTATTCTGAATAGATTACAAAGAATAAATATGGCTTTTTTTAAACTAGAGACAAGCTAAAAATATGAAAATGATACAATCATAAATTTAAGAAGAATGAAATGGTGTGTTGTCAAGGTCTTTAATGTAGTTGCAGTAAAAAATATTTTAAGTTTATTGTTAATTTGTAAATGGTTATTTTTAAGTGACAATAAAATAGGATTACCGATCGATTTTATAATTTAAAATAATCAACAAATCTCATTATTAATAAACAATAATATTTTAAAAAGGTTTAAAATATATTTTATGAAGTTTCACAGATCACAAATAAATAATTGTCCATTCTATAACTCTTCTATTATCGTTGAAACTGAATGTGAGGATGTAATAGTGGTGGTGTGACGATTTTATTTAAAATTTCATACATATTATTTGGTATTTAATTCCTAAATCATAAAACGTATAGAAATGTTTGTGTTAAGTGATAAAATCATTATTTTCCTTCTCGCTACTGTAAATCAATTCAGAATAAATCTACTGTAGGTGTTAATTTCACATTCATATATGATATATCTACATGTTTTTGTAATCGTAGATAAAGGCGACCCTTCACAATAGTTTAATTTTAATTTCACATTCGTATCAACGGGAATATGAAATTTGAAATTTAATTAATTTTTGCTTAAGTGTCAATTATGCGAAACGTTTAGAGGATAATTTATAAAGCCATGTCCTGATGATGAGTACTTTAAACATTCACTTACTAGGATGTATATTTAGTATTATCTCACCGGTATAATATATAATTAATTGCATCGAGGATACTTTGAAAACAATAACTTAAATGCATTTATAACATATGCATTACCCATTAACGTACTTTTGTACGTATTCCAATAAGTATATTTTCAATTCAAAGTAGAATCATAAAAATGGTTGTTTATTTAATAGACGTGTTTCTTTGCCCGTGAGGGTACTATTCCTCGGAGGTTATGGAACTTAGTGGCTAAATTTAAAAATGGAAATAAAAATACTACACGGTTTAGTGGTATAATTAGTCTTTTCTGTTTTTAAAATCCACAGCAAACTTCAATGGCTCACGGACCCCGTAGAAAATAACACCGTTTAGTTAAATTTTTATTGTCTTTAGTTATACAAAAACATGGAATAATCTTTAAAATAACTTACAAAAACCACATTTATTTATTGATAAATACACTTGAGTCTAAACTTGTACATCAATAATAATAAAACTATTTTAATACATTTATATTTTATAGGTAAGACTTGATACAATTTGTATTAAATTATCTTATTCTTTTAATTTACCTGTTCTTATTTAATAATATCGTAATAACTACAGAAGATTTTGCTTTCGTCAGTGATCACAAATAACGGTCTGCTTTATAGATTCTTTCATAATAATATTCAAATTAAAACTCTTTGGCGTTAGTTATCACGATATCACTTTAATATATTTAACATATTATTAAAATACGCATGCCCTTTTGTATTCAAAAGACAAATATTTATGACATTCGATTTTAATAATTTGGCTTTTTAATAATGATATTTAAGGTTCACAAAATTTTCACAGAATTTCCAGTTTATAAATTAATAGTTAGCATTAGCGTCAAAATAAAATGGTTAAGCAATTCTAATATTTCGCGGCCTTTTGAAATGTTTGAGAATTCTTACACACATCACCTTTTAAAACACTAAAATTACACAACATTTATTTATAAGAGGATTAAAAATTTCAGTTCGTTTTATCCCTTGTTTTTAATTATATATTTTAGGTACTACTAATACCTATATCAATAAGTTTTGAAGACAGATAATTTTACACAATACAAATTCATTAACTAGTGCAATATTCACAATATTATAAGGCCAAACATACCTCATAATAAATAGGTATATTTCTAGAATTTACAAATGTGACAAAACTATGTAAAATCTATTCAAAGTCGAATGCGGTACAGAGGCGTTGCAAGCTAAACTAAAATTTAAAAACCGCACTGAACTGAAAATCCACATTTTTTCTTTCAAGAAACGATATTTGTCAGGTGAAGGCGAGCAGAGAAATGCATCAATTGTACGCGTTCTACATAATGTGCAACTTTCCTATATTTCTTATAATTTTGATGCCAAATAAACAATCACAATAACAAGTAGATGAGATCCATTAATTTTTAAAATACTACTTGACATCTAGTATGCCAATCTAAGTTACACATAGGGACGTCCACGAAAATATTAAGTACTGTGCGCATTGTGAATTATTTAGGAATTAGAATTATTTAAAGAGAGTTATTACAAAATTAAAACGAACAGGAAGTATAACAAATGTTTTTGTTTAATAAATATAGACATTTTTGAAGTTATCAACCATACAAAATAGTTAAAAAATCTAGTTAAAAGACGACAACAAATCATTTAGAAACATTTAACGCTGATGATTGATCTTATCAAAATAACGCAAGAAGAGAAAGAGAGAAACCGTTCTCTAAAATTGAATTCAATTTCAGTTTAAATTTGTATATATAACTTCTTGTAGAAACCCCGGGAAAAATGCAACTTGTACAAATATTACTCTGCAGTGAGATCGTTGAATGTGTTCGCATTTTTGTAATAACCTTCTTTTTACAGTATAGTCTACAGGATTAATGCTTTGAAATCTAATCTACACATAAAATAGAAAATTATATAAATAACTTCGTGTATGAATATATTATGTATAACGAATTATTAAAATCTAACGACAAAGGAACTGTGACATTGGGTTAACATCATTAATATCAGTTATAAACCTGTTTGTATAATCTATTTATTACTTGTATAATACATTTAATCTGAATATAATTTAGACTTATATTTACAATTTATCTCTTAATTGTCAAAGTTTAGAATTCATTTTTATAACTGATTCTACCCGATACGATTGCATACATAAATTACGTTATAATATTAAAATGCATTATATTATGCAAAAAATACGATATTGTAAAATATACTTATATATATTAGGTAGCCAAGCCTGCGGAATGCTTGGATGAGGGTATCGCAGCCCATAGATATCCATAGCATCCTCAGGTCATATCTCTCTAGACTCCCGTACAGATTCAATTCCACTCCTTGTTGTATATAGTAGTGTAAAGGGAATAGGGAAAGATATGAAGCCATCTAGATTAGAATTTAGCTTCATAATGTCTCATTTTACCATCTTAATATTTTTGACAACTGATTTTTAAAAAAATCTGTTAAAAACAAATGTTACATTTATATACACAATCGTATAAAACAATGAGTTTTATGTATTATACTAGACGTAACCATCTAAAAAGCACTTAAGTTTTCCGGTAATTCCCAATTGTTATTTATGTCCTCTTAGTGCATTATACTTGTCTAGTAAAATGTATAGAAATCATTGATTCAATTATAATATACGCTACGCCATTGATTTGAGTTTCGTTATAAGTTCGTTTATATGGAACTATATTGGAATGGTCATAAAGATTATCGTTGTATTAGACTGAAAAAGTCACAAATTGATATAGATCTCTTCAAATCTAAAGTAATTATTTTATTGCTTACAATATACATACTACATTTATTAAATAAAACATCAAACAAGGCTCTCTTCTCTCTTAATTTTAACTTTTGGCATTTGTACAACGTAGATATTTTTGTTGGCACATTGGTTGATAAAAGTTAAAAATGAAATTTATTTAACTTTGAACTATCTATATAAAATAAATACGGTTATTTGGCTTCCTCGTTACTTAAAAGAATGTAGTAAAACTTACAAAAAGTACTTGCTTCTAAATTCGTCAACATTTACTCTAAAAGCTCACGCAGTACCGAGACACCATAATATTCGACTAGAAAAAGAAGACTAGATTTAAATTACTTATTACAATGATCTTTAAATGTTGCCTACCTAACATTTTCTGACTTTCCCTCAAAATCCATATTCTTATAACAGAAGAATATAGTTAATAAATTAATATTCAAACTTTAAACAAATTGCTCTTGGACGGGACGATAAATACACTAACAAAATAAAAATACAGGTACTTAAATAAATGCTTTCATTGATTCAAAATGTACGAAACTTGACTTGACTCTAAAGATTTAGAGCAACTTTACAAATTATTAAATTATCAAGTATCAAGATTGGGCAATTTGAATCTTGATACTTTTAGAGAAAGAAAATAACCACTTTCATATTCCTCAGTTATACACTCCTCTAGTCATTGCTTCTCTATTTCTATTATGCCATTTACATGTTAAAATTCTAACATATGTTCTTCTAAACGTTGCATTGCACAGAGCATAACACACGGGATTTATAGTTGAATTAATGTAACACAAAGCATAGAAGAATGACCAAAGTTCATCCGGGATACACTTAGCACACGCCGTTAAAGGTTTTAATAGCACAAGAATATTATAAGGAGTCCACGTTATAATGAACGATAGAAGAATAGCGGATAATGTCTTCGCAGCCTTCGTTTCTTGTTTTTTCTCTTGTGTCTTTTTCTTTTTCGGTTGTTTCGTTGTAATGCCTTTACCGGCTAATTGTTTAGGTATAATTTTGGCATTTAAGGGTATTCTAACGTCTTGTATATGAGACGTTCTTCTTGAAAGACCAGCATGGCCAGCTGGGTGTAGATTTAGTTCGGAATCACCTCTTGCGGGAGGACGATATACTCGCGCGTTGGAAGGTGGGGATTCTTCCGTGATCATTTTGATGCTGGGTCTTTCTGTATCTGCATCTGGTAGTCTTATAACAATAGTGTAGACTGAGTCAGCAGACGCAGATTTTGGCGCTGGTGAGGTAGCTGTATTGATTCTAGTGTTTGGTGGCAAGGAACGACTATCCCGTGCGCTGGGAATAGCTGGAGGCTCAAAAGTTCGTCTAAGAGGGGAAGTACCACCATCTGCGTTAGAGCCTCCGGAACCTCCTCGCCCCGCGAAGGGATCTCTGATTACATTTAACGATGTACATCTGAAAGGAGGAAGAAATAAATATTGCCCACCGAGGTTACTAATTAGATTATAATGGTCTTCGATAGTCGTTACGATACGTGGAGTACGAGTTTCATCCTGCATAATGTGCAAATATGTAAAATAAAAACCTATTTAATATACCGTCATGTCTGTCACATCTAGTCAGTCTGTGCGGAAAGAGAACCACTAACGACTGTAGAAGTATTGTTACAAAATTAAGCTATTTACCTAGAAACCGTACTCTGTAGTGGCGTTTCTACAGAGACAGGAGTAGCGTAGCCAAGATCAGAAGGCTCCTCTTCAGGCTCCGTGTCTTCAACGTCCTCTCTTCCTGAGTGCCACCACGCCACGCACCAGTTTGTGACTGCTGCCCATCCGCGTAGACGACTTTGACACTTTCCGCTCTATGAAGATGAATTTGAGTTATTCACTATTACATCTAGAAGTACTGTATATCCTAAATGCAAGTGAAATACTTCACATTTTTGTCAGTTTCATGATCTCATCCTATAAAAATAACCTTATTTTTCTGAATATGATTTTTTTTTATTCAAATTGGATTTCTAAATAAACAAATGCCCTACATTTTCTTACAACATAAATCTAACTTTAACCCATTAAATTTTGACACAGGCCACAAAATACGAAGGGTTGCTACTGTCACCTGTATAAATTGGCAATCAGATAATTTACTAGACTATTGCCAACTGTGCTGCTAGCCGGAAACAGTATTTGCCAAACTTGGGTTACCATTACAATGATTGGAATGATGCCAAATCGATACGATCCAAGGACATAGGTACATTTTTGCAAGTGTCACCAGTTAAGCGATCTGGATAAACAAGGGAATATTAAATAATTATACTTTTTATGTATTAAGAGTTTTTTTATATAACTCTAAAGTGGTCACAAAAACCTATGTTATACGTAAATATGCATAGGGCCCAATAGTTTATAAAATTACCTAAATATTAAATATTTTGTAGTATGTAGTAGTCGGGATGTATGTATGTTTGTATGTATGTAATAATTAACTTAAGGACATCGCTGCAATTATTTATAACTAACTTAATATTTTGACGGAATTTTGTTTTATCAATATAATTAACACGGTTGTAGGCTATAATTTCGTATGGTCTTGTCTCATCCATTATTGGTATTTTATATATTGATACCAAAAGCAATTATTAACTTTTTATATTTTACAATTGATTTGAAATTAATTTACAAAATTATAGTTAAAGACAGTCAAGTACAGGCTTGCTGCAGTAAACTCGACTTTACTAGGCACTTAGTTCGTAATATGCATGAAAAGTTCCGTACAATCACAGAAATTTCTAGAATATGCTGAAATTTACCAAGTTTTATATTGTACACGAGTGTGAAAGCACAACAAATTGCTTTAACTTTTGCTCATTCAAAAGTTTGCGTCAAAACTCATATGCGTCGAATTAGGCACGACTTAACGCTGCAATCCATCGGGAATACTTGGAACTTTTATTGAAATTATGAATGAAAGAAACATTTGAGACGATATTCTTTTGTAAAATAACAAAAATAAAATCCTGACTGCACTAAATTTGAATTAATTGATAATTGATGTATTAATATAATTTTGTTTTCTATAAAATGCTTTTAGAGTAAAACCACCTTTTGATACCCCACACGAGGGCCGTAAAATGTATTAGCCTTCCAGTAAAGTGCATAAATTCGCTATATGAAAGAGAGAAATAAATAAATAACAATATTATATATATTATGTATAATAATAATTATTATACACAATAACAGGATATTTAGGTAAAACAAAGTGCACTAGCCCCCAAAATAGGATTCCCTGTGGGCAGCCAGTCTCTTCCTTTTGACATGTTAACGGTACTTTACTTTATAATTTCTACTTACTTTTTTACTGTCTTTATTTATAATATAAATTTATATAGAGAAGTATTGGGACTTTTATCAAAATCGGTTCAACTTTGCGAACAATAGATCTCACATTAAATCATATATGTCAAACTAAACAGTCTTCTGGTACACGGTAAAAAATAGATTACGAAAAAACTCGGCAAGAAAATATGTCGTTAAATGGGATATGGCGTCCAAATCGAGTAGTACTGCATACTAGCGATAAGGCGTGATATCCGAGTGAGTCCCCGTTCTTAACGACGTAGCAACTCTTTTATAGCCTTTTAGGAAAATATTGATTTTGTGGAAAAAAAAAACTATTTCACAAAACATTGTACTAGTTAGACGTCCAGATGTATTTTTAAGTTGAAAGTAATAACATTCATGTTTTATTCATATTAGTGCCATGAACGGCCTAAATATGATAGAATACATTTATATATACATTGTATTTTCTGTGTCCGACTATACGTGTGTAGTTTATAAGGAATTTTGATGACATTGTGCCAAATATAAATATTTATATTGATTTGTTACAAATAGTAGTTACTTTTGAAGAGGTTGACTGAGAAACGAATACTGAGTATTTCTTGACTCTTAAAAATTAAAGGTCATATATATACATTGTATGCGTATAAGGATGTTTACAAATTCGTCTAAATAAAAATATAATAAACCTTTATCTTTTTTCAAATTCCCATGTAACTTAAGTTTAATCCTAGGACAAAGTTACCGGTGCTATTTATAGTACACAGAGAAAATAAGTTATAATTTAAAAAACCTTACATGGTACTATCATGGTAACATAAACTTAACTGTCCTTGAAAACACATGTTATCTTAAACTAATAAGCAAATTTCCTGAAGTAAACCAATAAAGTTAAGCAAAGTCCGTCGAGGAAGCCTTGTCAAAGTTTGCACTAAGTTACAAATTGCAACTTGAACATCCGTCGCTATATTGTTTCATTTTACTTCCCCCTTTCTGGTGTACTGGGATATACATAGAACAAATGTACTAGAATGATTACTCCATGCTGCAGTATCGGTGTCTCAGAATTTTCTGTTTTATTGTCGTAACTTAGTTCCCCGTTCAGCATCGCAGCGGGTATGCTGCTAGCATTAATGGTACTTAGCCACTGGGACTTTTAATCGCCTCCACGACTTCCTAAAATGATCTTCTGACCTCTTTTATGTAAATAAATTAATTTACAGTGCACTTTGGAGTCGGTTATATTATATTATATTTTTGTGTTATAGTTATATTTTTGTGAAAATGATTTTATTTCATTTAAAATTATTAAAGAAGTTTTAGTTTGTCGTACATAATTGTTGTAATAATTTATAGGCTATTTTAGATTATCTTTAATATAACAATCAAAGTAAAAAATGCAGATTGAACCTTTATCTGTTTTAAAATTTGTAAGTTTTACAAACTTCATTTCATTGTAAAAATTAAGATTTTTCAACTGTTTTACAATTTAAATGAATAAAGTTGGAAGCTGGAATCATTTTGACAACCTTTGACTTCTAATATTAAAATAAAATTGAGAAAGAATGCTAATTAATGGAATTATAATATGTTAAATTAATGGAATTATTATATGTTATCTATATTTTCAATTTGTTTTTTATTATAGTTTTATATACCTTATGTTATTGGATAAATTATAGCGAAATCTTAACCTAAATACTATTAACTATATATTACCTGAAAATCACGCCATCGAGGATCCAAAGCCCCTCTGACGTGGTAAACGGAGTCCGCATCACCAGACTCCGAGCGGGCGCGTGCGTCGATTTCTCGTGTCTCATCACTATACAAACAACAACTAAATTAGGTAAAACTTTTTAATATGTAGCTAAGGATTTGATTTGACTGATTTTATAAGTCGATTTAATTTTATAAATTACTTTTATTATAGACAATTTTGAGATATTACGAAATTTCTTAAGCATGTATTAAATATATTCCATATTTATTATCTAGTATAAATGCTATGTTGCTATTTATTTAAATGCAAGTAACTTTTTATCTAGCTTAGAACCACATATTGTTTATTTTAACAATATTTTCGGAAAATATATTACTTATTTTTATGGTATATCTACATACAAGGATATCATTTATCCTCTTTGTCATTGTATATCATGTTTACAGTCTAAGGCCATCAGTCATCCATTATAAGCCATTAGTGCCCACAATATCACTATCGGAAAACAATATGTTTTAAAAACAAAAATGTATAGTTCAAATAACAGTTTATAAAAACATTAATAGTACTTTTTTTATTATTACTAAATACGAACACGATAAATCATGCGAATTCTTCAAGTATTTCTGACAGCAAAACAAATGAAAATCACTACCCCTTCAGTTAAGGAAAAGCAATATTCAATCGAAAATATTTGAAAGGGTTAATCAAAGGCTCATAAAGTGAGATGAATGTCCATGGAACTGGAACTGGCGTTGTGCCAAAGTGCATGCGTTTGGCCTTCAGTACGAGTGATTAGCAGCATAAGATTATTCGAGTCACGTTTGTAGGTGCACATTGCTCAGCGCTTTGATTCAAATAGCCGAAACCATTAAATTGTTGCCAGCATTCTTTGAAATAACAAAATCATTCTACGTTTAAATTTTCTTAAAAAAAACAGACAGAACATGGACTGCTTTTAACTTTTAATTATTGAAAATATAAACGATATTCCATTCCCAATGTATTAATAATAGTTTGTGTATTTTAATTATTGGTTTTTAATTTTAATATATATCTTATGTACCCAGATTTTTCTTAGGTTTTTTTATTACTGACTCGAACCACGGCTCAGTGTCGAGAACTAGTCCCTGGTGCATATTTTATATGTAATTGATTATAAGTTAATGATTATTTCGGCTTAATTACCTGCCTATAAATATAAATATCTATAAAGCATGTGAAGAATCGTAATTCACCATGCCGCATGTCCATATTTTCTATTTGATCTCCTTAATTATTTTAAATTGTATATGTCATAGCCAAATGATCCATACAACAAAAAACGCTTATAACTTAAACCATTTCCAACGATTTGAGAGGAATAATCAGAACTAAATTGCCAACAGATTAGTTCTATGTGCAAGCTTCAGAATCCTAATTTTATTACACATAATATAATTCAATGCAAACATGCTTTGTTGTTAATAACATGCACGCTTTGTTAATAAAATGGAAAACATTTTAGTTATATGCGGAAATGGGTTTGTTTGATAATTCTGTAGACAGCAATTCTAATATTAATTCTATATTGGCTTGAAATAATCCATACAGAATACCGAAAACGGATACACTATAGAAGTTAATCTGGCAGAAATAAAATAATTTACATACATAAGGATACTACAATATTATATTATTTAACGCAGTTATGGTCTGCGAAATTTACGTAAATTAAATAATTAATTCGCGTTTGTTTCCATAATTCTTTTTACGGTTTTATTAAAAATATGTACTTTATTTATGTGGAATACTTGGAACTATTGTATGACAATTACATATAAAAACGTTCTATATTATTATAATTCCAAGAATCTTCAAAACCCCAAGTCAAGTCAACAACAAAAACGTTTTCCAATTATAAACTGTCGTAAATATCCATTTACGTTCGGATTTCTGGAAAACAAACATATAAATCTAGATATTACATTAAAACAACTGTCATGTATTGAGATTTAGGAGTTTATTAGAATTTTTGATAAGCTTTTTTAAATGTGTTTATAAGACATAAATACGTACTATAAATACGCAAATAAATACGTAAAGAGTGGTAATTGTGTATATGTATAAGATCGTAACAGCCTTATGATAAACTTTAGGATATAATAACTAAGGTCGCTATCACAGTCTCCATATTTTTTCCTTTAGGATCAAAGGGATCAACAATAGATATCAGATAATAATAACTTTGTTCCATAACATATTTACCTTTTTAGTTTACAAATCGCTACGTTGTAGAATATTAACAATGTACATTCAATTCAATTTATCACTGTTTTATAAGTTTTTATAAAAGCAAAACGGCTTTAAAAACTTGTTTAGTTTTAGAAGTTTGTTACATTCTAGGAAATAATGTACACTACATATGTAACGATAAAAAATTGTATGTAACGAAAGAATTTTTGAATTAAAAATTGAATGTACATTAAACAAATTCAATTCAAGATATTTCACAAAAGCAAACTCTTCTCTTTTCCAATCATACACAAACACATTGTGAAACTAAAAGGATAAGAATAATGGATCCTCACCGCCAAAAAAGATTACTAAAACCTCAAAAACCGATTTTCAAAGGAACAAAACATGAACATGAAAACGGACTAAGCAAATTGCTGTATCCGAAAAAAATCGTTCGGCCACGTATATAACAGTTTCATATCGCTATTAGGGGCACGCTAAAATGAGCTTAGTCAACTTTACAATAGAGAAGAAAATAGGACCCACGCCTTAAGCATTGCATCGCTGAAACTAGCAGTCGGTTTTCTCAAGGGGCTATGAAATGAACCGTTTCAACTTCTAAATGAAGTTTTGGGAATTTTCTGGCATTTCTGTCAAAACATTTTGTAAACATAGAAAAGAAACAATTAAAACAGCATTTGAAACTTTTATACAATACATACTTGCTTGGAGCTTGTAAATTACATTTATAACTTTATCTATTAGAGCAAATATGTTTTAAAGTCGACTTTAGAAGTGCTGTGGAACAATCAACATTATTTACATAGGAGAGAATAATACATCACTATATTTATCAATTGTATCTTTACTAATGTACACTTTGAAAATTTACCAATACTGTGTATGAAGTCGATTGAACTGTATTTTTGAAGTTATACTTCTTTAGGCGCGTTATGAAAAATTTATGAGAGTGAAATTTTACGATGCGCGCGCACCGTGACACAAAATTAGGAGTGTGATTATAGCGTGCGCGAGCGAGATAGGAATAAGACAATCTACAAGTAAAAAGAAATAGAATATGCGTGAAGTTCGTATGCCAAGAATTTTGAATGACCATAATGACATTTGTCATTTACCTTTTAAACAAATAAAGGAGTTTTAATTATTTTTTCAAAGAAATTAGTTAGTTTTTGAATTATATATAATCAGAAGTGATTTAAATTGAATATTTAAACCAATACTAATTAATATTTGTGAAAAAACTGTGCTCATCAACCTTCCTAAGTGCTTCATTACAATTGAGGTTAACTATCAGTTTGTATTATTATTATCGAGTAATGTTTTGATTAAAAAAATTACCACATTGTTTAATCAAAACATGTAATTTTTCTCTAGCAAATATAAGGACAAGAGACAAAAAACAATTGATGAATCAGTGTAAGTGCACTAAATTGAATACAAAAAAAGAGTTGTCATCTTATCGCTGTGAAACATCAAAAACTGGAGGTGGAACAAAGCCAAACTATTTTTAATAATGCCAAAGAAGTATAACTTCTTACGCGCGTACATAAGTACACGCACCCTTTTTTTTTATAGTTGTTACAACTGCAACCACGTTACACCTCACTTAAATCAAACAAAAATTACAAAATGAAACTAACCTAAGCGCACGTGTACAGAACAAAAGATTTCCGCATGCGAAGTTACAATCGAAGCGGAGCACAATGACAAGCGTCCTTCCCTTTCGCTCTGTAGATATGCGTATACGTTTGTCTCTTACCTTAGCGAGATACTATCGACTAGGATGACAGTTTCAGCACGGACTCAATAGTATTATTGTCATGGTATGTCAGCGTTTCTCTGTTTCTAGTAATGAATAGTCTGGCCCATTTCTATTTAATATTCTATGGTTTTGTTAAAGATACCTCGGCTGTGTTAAATGATTTTAATGCCGTGCGTAGCATTGAGCTTTTAATACTACGGCGTAGCACTGCTACAGAAAACAATATGTACAATGTACATAGCTAGGCGTTATGAAATAACGCAGTCTCGTTTATCATATAATATTTTTTTGTAAATAAACATTAAATAACAATCTTATAATTTTATAGGTCTGTTGTTTTTCTGGGATTGTGTTAAAATTCCATTGAAGAAAATCTTTATGCTATTTTCTTTATATGATAACAATGTAAGAGCTAATTTAAGCTCACAATATAAAAGTGCCATCATACTTTAAACGTAGTGTCGCGTTTATGATAGGAATCAAATAACTCACATTTTCTACAAGAGACACAATTTCGTTAGTCACACAACATTTTTGTGTTGTTGAATCAGCAATGGCTGATTCTGCAATTATTATAATAAGGTCAATAACCTTTGACAAAAACAGACTGGAGCTAAGACATAATAACACATCAACTTCGGTATCAGCGGTTTACGATGCGTCATAATGGTTATGTTTTGGCAGGCAGCCTCCGCCCATTTCTAACAATCGTGATAAAAAATCAAATCCTCTTGTTTTTGTATCTACAGGGTTCGTAAAATTATACGGCTGAATTAAAAAAAAAACGATATTCTTCTGATTGTGTGAAGAGTGCTTTAGGCAGTTAGTTTAGTATTTATCTGATATTCTCAAACAAAAGAAGTCACGTTCCGATCCGTAGTCATATTAATAAATTACAAACAATAATATCCTATAAGCAATAATATACACAGCTCTAGTGCAGTGACAAAGATGGATGGATATTGTTCTAGCATCCACCGCAGCGACAATTTATTGATGGCAACTCGCGAACACCACTAATTAATTACCCTCCATTTCACTGGGAAAATTCTGCTTAATGCTTAAAGCTTATGAGTGCAAAATATATATTTTTCAAAATATCTGGATAATTTGTCATTGAATCCTTCTGTTAATGAAAATTTTACTATTGAAGCTCGATGGAGTATTTACTTCAGTAGTAAAAAGTTTATATTAATTGCATCAAATTATAAACAAAGTAAAATAATAATTCTTGGTATAACTACCTGACTTATAAACAATTTTAAAAAATATAAAGTAATGATACATTATTGTTCGTATTACATTAAAAATCTTGCATTATCCCAGTGAGAGAGAAACAAGTATGCAAAAATAAAACTCATAAATAATTAACTTTAAACCCTCTAATGGATAGTCCGGAACTTTACCTCGTCATTAACTACAGATATTATTCTAAGCTTTTTCCTACGATTGAAATAGTTCAAACCAGTCGAATTAATGTATATTGACAGAAAAATATATGGTAACAAATAAATCTATGAAAATAGATATTTTCAATGCATTCGCAAATAGGTTTTTGAATTTGAATTGACACAATAAACTAACGCTCAAATTGTATTCGAAAAATGGTTTGGTTTTATATAAAGAAAATTGCATTATGAAAATTCTATGTATTCTTCTATAACCTTGTTTGAAACGACATCTAATTTAAAAGTTAAAATATTTTGATTGAGTAAACATTCTGCCTTAAAATTAATTATAATTTTGTTAAGAATTTAGAATTTTAATTAAAAATTACCAACACCGTTCCGTCCGTAATTGAGGAAGCAAAAATATTTCAATTATTCTCGTTGTCTCAAACACTTGATATGTACATAATAATTTCTGTTTTCAGTTTCCTTTTTCGTTTAATGACATTGTAACTTCTATTAGGTATCGTTTTATATCCAAAGACATAAGGATCGTAACAACTGTAATTAGACACATACAAAAATATATTCAGATTATTGAAAATTCTGTCCTTCTTTGTTATACGTTTATCTAAATAAATAACATACAACAGCCGTACACAGTCAAGTCCTTTCATTTCCTGTAAGGAAGCTTGTAGTGTTCGAGTCAGCACCATGTATTACAAACTTTCTTACGAGTCACGTACACTTTCCTCTCTCCGGTGAGCAAAGAGCTTGCCCTCTATAAAAAAGGTATTAACCTAATTCTGTCTACTTCTAAGTAGGGCATTGTTGAACGAGATTAATCAAGTGATTGCCGTGCTAAAACAAGAACAAAGCAGGAGAAAACAAGACAATTGAAGGAGATTTACAGAGGCGCATGTTAAATAAATGCCTGCATCAACTTAGATTCGTTAGAGCGTAAATCTTGCCCGCATCTTGAAGTAATGTCTTCCGTAGTAAAGGCCTGTATAGGGGTGTCAAAATTATGTCTAAATCACTGATTGGTGCTAGGTTAAGGGTTCACAGAACAATTCATAATATTTTAACGTAATAAGCAATATAAAAGGCGACATAATTTGTGTTGCCATCACTGCACCTTAATTATTATTAAATAAAAATAAACAATTGATACGCTAAAGTCAATACTAGTAACTTTAAAAAAATCTAAATTCTGACTAATGCTAGAAGACTTAGCAATGAGTTATAGTCAATAGACAACCCTAGATGAGCGAGGCCGTTGGGAGTAGGGGGAGTTCTGCGCTCAGGTGAAGTGTTGTTGTTGGTGATTTTTAAGAGCTCGGAGATATTTTTATTAGATCTGTGTTCAGATAAAACATAGTCAATTGGGAATTTTTCGTAAACAGTCTCGTATCGGCAGATTTCAAGGGGCTTTTAATCATTCAACACCCACAATTTTAGCTACTTATCTATTTTAATCTACTAAGATAACTTAACAAATAAATAATTTTTTAACAAAAAAATTTCCATGATAACGGTGATCCTTGAAACTTAAAATACAAAACGCGTCATATCATTAAATAAATAAATGTATACGAAAGTTGTTAAACAAACTTATTTTTATATGCAATATACTCGAGGCTGTAGTCAAAAGCCTATTCAAAATAAAAAATACTATCCATATAAATTATAATGTAAATATTAATTTTATTGTAATGGTAACAATATTAATAAAATTAAACTTATAAACATAAACTAATAATAATAAAATAATATACATTGAAATAAATAACGAAACTTAACATAAACTAAAATATATCATTAAAAGGAGTCCCTTTAGGCAAGGTTCCGAAGATACTGAGCGTTCCCCTTTGAATTGCTAGACTAATTCTTTGTCCGAGGTAGTGCCAGATTTCGGTCTCCTGTGATGTCGACTAACCTTTTTGAAATTTCTTTAAAAAGCCTTAAAGCGCTAGGACTTCACGGACCAAGGGTCTCGACACGAATGGGACAAAATCATATTCAGAGCCCAGACCCCTGTATTTGCCTGCTTTATTTTTTTCAGCCGCTTCACAAGCCGCACCAGCTCTGTAGTTGGTTCCATGTAGATGGGAAGGGGCCAGGTGTCTGAACAGGTTGATCCCATACCAGTACCCGACCCATCTTCCATGGAATCAAACTCATACCGTCCGGTCTCTTGCCATCGTCTCTTGCAATACCACTTGGCTCAAGAAGACTTGGCACGTTGACGGTGGCAAGGGAACGGCGTATGATATCGTTAAGTGCGGCATGTCTCGAGAAGCGGCCTGCACTTTTTTGGCATGACAGGCCGTGATGTCCTAACTTGTCGACATCACTGCCAAGGGACATATATGAGAGCGCAGACCGGAACCCCAAGCCGTAGACAGGTTGCGATTCGAAGGTGTCAGGCTAAGAAAAGTTCCTGTATTTGACGATGGGTAAGGTGAAGCCAGTAGCCGGCCTCATGCGTGCCCACAGTTAATATGCCCATAGTTATTTATATATATATCTCATAACACACGCGCATCAGCTTATTAAGAGCTGCCAGTGTGTTAAGTAAATAATAATAATAATATGGATTACATTCCACCAACTACAAAACAAAAAAAACATCGTTCATTATTTTAATTAATATACATAGGATAAATACTCTTTGGCATGGTAATACGGTGGGCATTATTACATCACCCAAAAGGGTCTCAACAATTCTCCCATTTGAATTCAATGGAATTGTTCTTATCGATTCGAATGAATATACATTCGAGTATCTGTATAACGAATACTAACGATGGAAACTCATTAGATGGAGCTTGAAATATTCCACAGAGAATTGAACAACAATCTGTTTGTTAAGGACTGGGAGTGAATGAGCTGAAATAGACGTATCTTACGTTGTGCATACGTATAACTGAACACTTAACAATAGAAAGAACATGTTGATTTTGTGTGAAACACTTAACAATGTTAGGACTATCAATACGCAATAATATGTTGTAAATTGACTAATTGCGACTTGACACCTGCCAAGACATCTCGTATTGTTTGATATTATTCAATTGTCAATTTTTCTACAACCTGTAGTTTTTTATACAGCCATAACAACGTATTGAACAAATCAATGGCATGCCGTTAATATTCAATGGCAATCCAATCATAAATTTTACGGGCATCTCTCACTGTCGTAACAGACCAAAGTAATAAAAAGGAATAGGGAAAAGTTAAGAAGTTTATGGCAAGTTAGAAGAATGTCATCATTTCGTCTACAAGCGATGGGCGGAGCCGGTCTTTGTAATGGAGCAAAAATTTTCCAGAGTGCAGCCTTGTATTTCCTCTTCTAGATATAAGGTTTAAAATGGATTGCAAGAATATATAAAGAATAAATTCTCATTCCTTTCAGCTGCGCTAATGTTTTGTTGCGCAATGAACAATTTTAAACACTTTAATGATGTTATGCCTTGAATGGAAGAAATGCACTATGATTTAATTTTAATAATATTGTAATGTTCATATTACAAGTTGTTGATTATTACGGAATGGACAAGCTTTATAACTTTAGAAAACTTTTAATTCATTAACTTACCTAGAATTCGATCTTTTCGATGAGTCGTGTTTCTTCCCGCCTTGAAGGTTTGGCAAATCCTTCTGTCGCTTTTTCGTCTCCCTCCAAATCTTGTAATATAATATACACATAACTGTCACTGGCACATAAAACGCCGCAATGGCCGTCCCGAACGTAATAAACTGATTAGTCTCTATAAACTGGATGTAACACTCATTCGGAGGCACTTTCCTCTCGCCATCTATATACGGCCAGGCATAAATCCATGGAGGCCAGAGTAATAAGCTGAATCCCCACGCCCCTCCTATCATCACAGTGGCGCGCCGTGTAGTCCTTTTAGCCCTATACGTTAAAGGTCTCGTAACACTGAAATACCTATCGAAACTTATGATAAGGAGGTTGAGCACTGATGCGTTGGAGGCGAGATAGTCCAGCGCGAGCCAGGTGTCGCAAACGTGCGGCCCGAGCGGCCAGTAGCCATAAATTGTGAACATCGTGAAGAGGGGCATCGATATGAGACCGACAGCGAAGTCGGCTACCGCCAGCGAGAAAAGGAAGTAGTTGCTGATCGTCTGCAGCTGCTTGTCTATCTTGAAGCTGATCATGACCAAGGAGTTGCCGACGACGGTGAGCACTGAGAGGACGCTGGCGATGATGGCGATGACAATCTTCTGGGCGAGGCTGTAGGGGCTGGTGGGGAGGTCTGGGCCGAGCGCCAGGTCTGTGAGGTTGGCTGTGTTGTTGAACGCGATTAGCATGTCGTCAACTCGCCGAGCCCGCGGCCCCCGCTCCGCCGCCGCTCGTGCGCCCGCCGGCTCCGGGCGCGCCTGCTGACAAAACAGTATTTTACTTTATTTATTCTACGATTTTTCTAAAATTTATGTTTACATTAATTTCATTACATAACTGGTGATTTCACAATTAAATAAAATTAATGACAGTTTCACGGGTTTAATAGTTATAAGCGCTAAATTCTTGTACGTACTGGTACACAGACGTAATATATGCGTTAATTATGAATAGTTGGGTTTATGGAATGTCTTCGAAGAGCAATACCAAATGCAATAGCCGACTTGCGGTTCTCTAATTCCGTTGGTATTTCACCCGTCCACGGTCTTTTACAAAGGTATTTACAACGAAGAAGTATAAATACGTTTTACCTATTGAAACTAATATAGTGAATAACCTAATGAAATGTAATATTGATAGGATTATAAGTACAATAGGTAAAAATCTTTTACATACGTCTGAAGTATTTGAGTGTTTTATTAATATTTTTTATGAAAATTATAATTATTTTTTGCCCTCACCTTAAAAAAAAAAGTTTTTAACTATCGTAAGAGACTATAATAAACATTAAAGATCACAAAAATATAAACAATATTTTCTGCGCCACGAAGATAAAAACTCCATTATTTTACCAAGAACCCTTTATCCTCAATATAAATTACGATCATTATACGAAACAATACTTTTCAGGAAGGTCGCTGTGCACCATGGAGCCTGTAAAAACCACCGCTCCGTCGATCAAAGGATCTCCACATTGAAATAGATTGTGACGCCATCTTGTAAATAACGGCAACCCTAATTGGCAGCCCAAATTTCGTTGAAGCATTTTCGTTTAAGAGACTTTTTTTTATATATTTTTGTTAAATTATTGTTGTATCACTGGTTTTAGGAGTTGCCGTATACTATCATATGACAGATACGCTAAATAGTTAAACGTGAACTTTTTATGAAAGAAAATATTTTTTTTTTTTAATAAATAATACCTTTTCTACTCCCCTGCCATTGTGTACAGGGACTTTTTCTATCTCTAAACTTCACACCACACGTCTCAACTACACGGCTACATCGGTAATTTTTTTGTTTTCAATATTCATGGGCGAGCCGGGACGCAATTCCTCGCGAGACCCGTTCTTTAAGTTTTGTTTGCCGCCTTAATATATTTAACAATTTTTTCGCAGAACCGTTCCAGGCACGATCTATGCTTTATTAACATGTCCTGTAGGCCGTTACGGTCTACAGTCATCTGCATTTGTTGCTCCAGGTCGTGCCTGGACGATGCGAATATAGGGCAATGTAGGAGCACATGTCAAATATCGGTTATAGTAGTTAAATCAACTGGTTTCTACCGAGTATTTATAAAAAATTGAACATAATCATTATAATAGAGATTTCTCATTTTCCGTACTACGAAACAGTAATTAACATAATTAGACAATTTGCATTATCGTGTTAGCCGTGGCGGTTTGCAGCAGTGATTAATTACTAGGCGTTATTAGCTATAAAAGAACATTGGAATTGTGCCAACTATAAGACGATCACTTCATAGGTTGTATTTGAAACATTGAGGGGCGTAAAGTTGAAGCAATAACGATGATACCAATATTTTTAAAGGGTCTAGTTTTATCGGCCTAATACATGAAAATTTTTAGCTCACAGATACGCAAAAATAGAATTTATACAAAACTTGTTAATAGGGTATGTGGAGACAGCGCAGGTTGGTCGATCAGCAAAGTTAAGGTACCCTTGTCGTAGCTAAATCTTAATGTGTAATGGTAGTCTAAGGTTTATGGTATTATTTAAATGAATGCGTTATATATTTTGGTTACTTAGTAGACGTCACATCGGTTTGGCGAATTAATAATAAATGTATAAAATGTTCAGTAAAAAGAAAACTGAATTTAATATTATAAATAGCTTTCGATTAATAACAGGCATGAAGATAAACTTATTAGCATTCACCATGCTTAAAAGAACACGAAATTGATTTAATATAAGCAGTGAAAAGTTTGAATATTACACCCATACTTATACCAAGTTTAACTTGGAGAACTCTAGTTATAAATTACATTCTTCAACCTTTATTTATGCTATTTATGTATTTAAATATATTGCAATAAATTCTAAATTTATCATTTGTTATCACTACTACCGGCTTGTGATCAGATCATATACTTCTTGTTACCGTTTATAATTTTTTTTGGAAAGCAAATAATACAAAAAAAGACATTGCTAGCACGCCTTGTTATGTGTAACAAAATAAAATAAAAACCTAAAACTTGCTTGATAAACTCGGATGAAAACAATTTCCTTAAAACAAATTTTACAAGAATATTTTCGTTATGTTGAAATGAGGATCCTTATTACATTCAGCGGTTTGTAATAAAAAAGGAAATGAAACGAATGGAAGAGCGTGGGCTTGTCCGCTTTATTACGATTACTGGTATTAAAAAATATTAATTATTCATAAAAACTCCTCTTTTCTCATTTGTACGCTACGGTTGGATAGCTTTTGGAACTGTAAAGTTTAAACTTTCAATGTTTTTGAATCATTTTTCTTACGCAAGACTACCCATATATAAAAAGAATTTTAAGTCACCACAATTTGTTAAATTTTAGTTACTCATTTTCATCCAGTTTCACAATTTGAATGTAGTTTGTTTGTTTGAAGTTATCTGAAACTTGTTTTAACGATCAATTGTCTGGGGCATCATGAACGCATGGGCCAAGATCGGGCAGTGAAAGAGGCTTACCTGAACCGCAGCGTACTGCAGCTGAAAGCCAGCAATTGGGAGCAATCAAACAAAATACGTTTATACAGTTTAGATGCGTCTTAGGGCGTGCTTATGAATGTCAAAAACGTTTACAAAATTCGCGAAAGAGCAAGACTATGCCAGAGCGCTGGAAGATTCTGATTTCGGAGGCAAAGAGAACCAGCAAGAGTTTGTGAGTGAGATAAACATGTTTACAATATTAAATTTTTTTTACAAAAATGAAAGTTATTATCGTGTCTTCGCAGCAAGAGAGGTAATGGAAATAGTGTCAAACAATAATCAAGCCCGTAATGATAATCGTTTCAAAGAAAAAAGAAATGCATTTGCACTTAAAGTCACCGCAATAATTAACATTAAGACCTAACGACACATTAAACTTTTACCATAATGTAGGAACATTTTTCATATGAAGACGACATCTTAAGCAAAGTGGCAATATTTTACATGTAACGTATTGCAAGAAGTTTCGAATAGAGTAAGCATCTGGTGCATGGCTATTACTATTAAATGCATGTCTCTGCCATCACTTGCAAGATAGCGTTGCAATTCAAAGAAATATCTAGGATTGTTGAGAAGGACAAATTGACTAATTATTGGGTTTATAGATGATATTACGTTAAAAAAAATATTTTGTTGTTAATTACTAATATTATTGATGAATTCTTTACACCAGAGAATATGGCTTACTTAGCATTACTCTTAAATATTAAACAGCTAAACTGGCTTCCTTTACAAACTTTAACCTATATTTCGATGTATTTATCACTTTAAAAATTAGAAGAAAAATAATATTATTTCATAAAATTGCAAAGAATCAGCTAGTTACATAAAATATGTTCTAATAAGAAGAAAAAAAAAAAGGGGAGAAAAAAAAAAAAAAAAAAGAAAAAAAAAAAAAAAAAAAGGAGAAAAAAAAAAAAAAAAAAAGAAAGAAAGAAAGAAAAAGAGGGAGGGGGGGGGGGGGGGGGGGGGGGGGGGGGGGGGGGGGGGGGGGGGGGGGGGGGGGGGGGGGGGGGGGGGGGGAAAAAAAAAAAAAAAAAAAAGGAAAAAAAAAAAAAAAAAAAAAAAAAAAAGAAAAAAAAAAAAAAAAAAAAAAAAAAAAAAAAAAAAAAAAAAAAAAAAAAAAAAAAAAAAAAAAAAAAAAAAAAAAAAAAAAAAAAAAAAAAAAAAAAAAAAAAAAGAAAAAAAAAAAAAAAAGAAAAAAAAAAAAGAAAAAAAAAAAAAAAAAAAAAAAAGAAGAAAAAAAGAAAAGAAAAAAAAAAAACCACCCCCCAAAAACCCCCCCCCCCCCCCCCCCCCCCAAAACCGCCGCGGGGGGGGGGGGGGGGGGGGGGGGGGGGGGGGGGGGGGGGGGGGGGGGGGGGGGGGGGGGGGGGGGGGGGGGGGGGGGGGGGGGGGGGGGGGGGGGGGGGGGGGGGGGGAAAGGGAAAGGGGGGGGGAGGCGGGGGCGGGGGGGGGGGGGGGGGGGGCCGGGGGGAAAAACCGCCCCGGAAAAAAAACAAAAAAAAAAAAAAAAAAAAAAAAAAAAAAAAAAAAAAAAAAAAAAAGGAAAAAGCGCCGGGGACGCCCAGGCGGGCAACCCCCCCCCCCCCCCGGCGCCCCGGCGCGGGGGGGGGGGGGGGGGGGGGGGGGGGGGGGGGGGGGGGGGGGGGGGGGGGGGGGGGGGGGGGGGGGAGAAAAAAAAAAAAAAAAAAAAAAAAAAAAAAAAAAAAAAAAAAAAAAAAAAAAAAAAAAAAAAAAAAAGAGGGGGGGGGGGGGGGGGGGGGGGGGGGGGGGGGGGGGGGGGGGGGGGGGGGGGGGGGGGGGGGGGGGGGGGGGGGGGGGGGGGGGGGGGGGGGGGGGGGGCGCCCCCCCGCCGCGGAGTGGGGTGTTGGGGGGGGGGGGGGGGGGGGGGGGGGGGGGAAAAAAAAAAAAAAAAAAAAAAAAAAAAAAAAAAAAAAAAAAAAAAAAAAAAAAAAAAGGGGGGGGGGGGGGGGGGGGGGGGGGGGTTTTTTCCCCCCCCCCCTCTCCCCCCCCCCCCCCCCCACAAAAAAAGGGGGGGGGGGGGAGAAAAAAAAAAAAGGGGGGGGAAAAACCCCCCCCCCCCCCCCCCCCCCCCCCCGCGGGGGTTTGGGGGGGTTAATTTTTTTTAAAAAACCCCCCCCCCCCCCCCCGCGGGGGGGGAAAAAGGGCCCCCCTTTTGGGGGGGGGGGGAACCG